AATGAAAATCGCAACACGAAAATGAAAATCGCAACGCGAATTTGACTATCGCAACGAGAGAATAAAATCGCGTTGCGATTTTGTCGTTGCGATTTTCATTTCGCGTTGCGATTCTCGGTTGATTTAATAAGCAATCTAAGTGAAATGGTTAATCTATTATTGAAATTACCAGTAAACTTATCATCAATTTCAATATGAAAAACCTAATAATAATGCAAAAATTTCAAAAAGAAAATAATTAAAAAAAACTAACCCTCAGTGGTTGATTTGGTTGATTTTCCATTTCTGATTGTGAGGGTGGCTCTGAGAGATGGAGATAGACGGATTTCGCCGGAGATGGGGACGGATTTCGTCGGAGATGGGTGAGAGAGTGAGAGATAGAGATGGGACTGAGTTGTGATTTTAGGTTTTAGGTTATGAGTTGTGATTACGAGATATACTGTGAACGGTTCAGTGTTCCAATATATTAATATTCATGTTTGGAATTTGAAAATAAAATACGCTTTGCGATACTAATGGCGCTTTGAAAATCGCATTGCGATTATGTATTATCTCGTTGCGAAAGTCAGTATTTAGTTGCGAAATTAAGTATCGAGTTGCGAAAGTCAGTATCGCGTTGCGATTTTGTATTATCGCGTTGCGATAGTCAGTACCGCGTTGCGATTTTCCAAATTCGCATTGCGATTTTCCAAATTCGCATTGCGATTTTCCAAATTCGCATTGCGATAGTCAGTATCGCATTGCGATTTACTTATTCGCATTGCGAATTGGGAAATCGCAACGCGAAATTGGAAAATCGCATTGCGATAGTCATAATCGCGTTGCGAATCTGGAAACTGATTTGCGATAATGGAGGTCGCGTTGCGAATTAGCGATCGCATTGCGATTTTGTTGGTCATTTTGGCAAATCGGGAAAAAGTTGGTTAAAATCATATATTATATGGGATTTTTGGTCACTGAGGTTATTTTCTCTTAAGTGAAATGTCAAAGGAGTTAAAGATAGAATCAAATAGATTTAGTCGGCCAACATCAAGTTTTGCCATGTAATTAACAATCATATTCACCTCACGTTTGTTAATTTACAGTTGGACATTATTGTAGATTAGATGAGCAAATAGAATTTAAAAAGATTATAGGTATCTTATAAGGATAATATATTTATAATAAGAGGATGAGATCATAATGATATTATTATAATGCGTCACAATTTAAGGATGTCAAGTTTCATGTGGTTAACGATGTTATCTAAAAAAGTATTAAATCAATGGATAATTTGAGAGTTTGGATATTCAAGTAGCAAATTGAAAGAAGAGAATAAGTTAAGGAGCCAAATCCAATTTAAACCTTTTAATAATCATAAAAGAATCATTTTCGGATACTGCTATTTTGTTAGATCCAGATCCAATGTGCAATTCGGGTTATATATAAAATAACTTCCAAACCAAAAGTAGGAAAGCTCTTTAGGGTTCTGCACGCTTTATTTACAGGGGTTTTGGAAGTTCGCAGAGCAAACGATGTGGAGATCAATGGCGGCAAGGTCCACGCAGCTGGTAGCACGGGGATTCCGTGCTTCCCAAATGAACCAGGTTCTATCTGAAACTCGTAAACCTTTCAATTCCTTCCCTAAAACATCACTCTCGCCATTCCATCGTTTTTTCTCCCATTCATCTGCTAATCCAAGTGATGACTCGCTCGGTTTAGCAGAAAATGGGGATCCCGAGTTGGATTTTATTGCTGGGATTGAAACTAATGCCGCCCAAGTCCCCTCTTTTGAGGGTCTCACCGGTGATGAGACCCGGATGGACAGTTTTGTCCCTGGAGATTCCAAAAACGACATGGAAGAAGAAACCCAAGATTATGAGCTTGATGCTAACAAGTTAGAAAATGTGTTGTCTTTGTTGCAAAGTAAAGTTGATGGGTCTTTGGAGTCGAGTCTTAATGCTATGGCTTTGGATTTGCGTGAAGATTTTGTTGTCAAAGTTCTTCGGACTCCATATATTTTGGGTGAAAATCTGCTTAGGTTTTTCAAATGGGTAACGAATAAACCTGGGTTGAAAGTGACTACCTCTGTTGTCGAGTCCCTTGTTAAGGTTATTTGTAGTGATATTAAAATGAAGAATGCGTATGATTTATGGGATTTGGTTAAGGAAATTGGGGAGAAAGATAATGAGGTTTTGACTGTTGATGTTCTTAATGAGTTGGTTGCTCTGTTTTCCAAGTTGGGTAAAGGAAAGGCGGCTGTGGAGGTGTTTGATAAATTCTCGGATTTTGGGTGTACCCCGAATGAGGAAACTTATTATTTCACCATTGAAGCTCTGTGTCGACGGTCTTTTTATGATTGGGCTTGGTCTGTATGTGAAAAGATGCTTGATGCAAGGAGCTTACCTGATGATGAACGATTGGGAAAGATTATATCCTGGCTTTGTAAAGGGGACAAGGCTAAGGAAGCCCATGCTGTTTATTTATCAGCTGAGGGGAAAAACAAGAATCTTCCTCAGTCTTCTGTTAATTTCTTGATCAGTTCACTCTGTAAGAAGGATGAAACAGTGAAGTTAGCTTTGGAGATGCTGGATGGCTTCTCGGGAGATGCAAGAAAATATGCTATCAAGCCGTTCTCAACTGTTGTTCGTAGTCTTTGTAGGACGAAGGATGTTGATGAAGCGAAAAAGGTTCTTCTGAAGATGATTGAACAGGGCCCACCTCCTGGAAATGCGGTTTTTAATTCAGTTGTCGGTGGCTACTCGAAGGTCGGAGATATGGAAAAAGCAAAGGAGGTGATGAAATTGATGGAGGATAGGGGTTTGAAACCTGATGTATACGCCTACACTGTTGTGATGAGTGGTTATTCTAACGGCGGCCAAATGGATCAAGCCTGTGAAGTATTATCAGAAGCCAAGAAAAAGCATACAAAGCTGACTCCAGTGACTTATCACACTCTAATTCGTGGATACTGCAAACTTGAACAGTTTGACAAGGCTTTGAAGATGTTGGCTGAAATGAAAGATTTTGGGGTCGAACCTAACGTTGATGAATACAATAAACTGATCCAATCTCTTTGCTTAAAGGTCTTGGATTGGCAAACAGCCGAGAAGCTACTCAATGAAATGAAGGAGAACAGCTTGTACCTTAATGGAATCACCCGAAGTCTTATAACGGCAGTTAAGGAGCTGGAAGCAGAGGGAATGAAAAGCTTGGAAGCAACAACTGAAGTTTGAAATCTTTGCTGATTTTAGGAAATGGATATCACATTCTGATGTTCAACCTTGAAGTTTGTAGCCTCCCCTCCCTTATTGACATTAGATGAAATGGTGAGGCCAGTTTGATTTCTTTGTTGTCATCTATATACATCTATTTTCATGAATCAACTGAAACCATATGTTTGTTTGTTTTTTATATATTTCCAGTGGTTCATTTTGGGTTCTTTATGCTTTTAAATTTGAATTGGTTTTTGTTTCTTTGCAAGTGAGAATAAGGAACTATTCAACATGTGCCAACTTAAATTAGAAGTTATATGGTTATTTCTACTGAATTTGGGGGATTATGTGTCACATTTACTTAAACTGACCACCATTGAATGGATGATTCTATGCTTGAAGTAATTCTTGTTCTTAATTTCGTAGACTATATATTATCTTTACACTTGTTGGGTCTTTTTGCTTCCAATTGTGGTGAACTCTTTAATTCAATTATTTGGAGATAAAACAGGTTGGTGAATCATGAACAAGAACAGACCCTGGCTTTCTGGTTTGAAAACGCAACAATTGAAATCTAGAAACATTCAGAGGCTTGGAATCATTCTCCTTTATGGAGGAAAATGTTACCTTACTTGATGCATTCTACAAATCAAACATCTGTTTAACTTTCAAAATACAATAATTTTGCTTCTACAAGCTAGAATCTCAAACTAATTTTGACTATATTGATACACATTTGTCCGTAAGAACAGCCAATTGATCAAAACACATCAAATAAGGAGCTAAACAGATTTCAATGAAGATTAAAGCCAGTAAAAGTAGCTGCATATATTTTTCAAACATGAATTTCATCTCTAACACAGCATAATCCCCTAAACTAGGAGAACTACAACTAAAGGAAACCTAAAAATGCAGATTCCAGAAGCGCACATCTTACACTGTAACATATAAACGATACTACTGATATACATTATCAAGCCCTCTCTCCCTGATCCGCCTTGCCAGCTGGATGTCCTTGGGCATAATGGTAACTCTCTTGGCGTGAATAGCGCAGAGGTTGGTGTCTTCAAAGAGACCCACCAGATAGGCCTCCGCAGCTTCTTGAAGAGCCGCTACGGCGCTGCTTTGGAACCTCAGATCCGTCTTGAAATCTTGAGCGATCTCCCTCACCAGTCTCTGGAACGGAAACTTACGGATCAACAGCTCCGTACTAGTCTGGTAATTCCTGATCTCCCTCAACGCTACCGTCCCGGGCCTGAAACGGTGTGGCTTCTTTACTCCTCCAGTGGCCGGAGCAGACTTCCTGGCGGCTTTGGTTGCCAGCTGCTTACGTGGCGCCTTCCCTCCTGTTGATTTCCTGGCTGTTTGCTTTGTACGAGCCACCGATTAACTGACAATGATCGGAAGACTGTATTTGGTTGCAATGAAAACCAACGGAATTTGGTGATTGGATTTGTGATCGATGCCAAGGGAAAATGGTTTTGGTAGTATATATTAATAAATTTCAATGTATTTTAAAAAAAAAAATCAGAGCGCGCGCGGGGGAAAATTTCAATGACAAAAATCTGGACGGTTAGATTATATCTTATTCATCAACGGCTGTGGATACTTTTCGACTCGGCGATCCGGGTCATGATCCATGACACTAATTTGTAATTAGGCTTTCTTGTTCTAATTTTGTAATTCACATTATTCGGTATATTTAATTTGAGTAAAAATAAAAGATACATTTTGGTAATAAAAAATCCATCAATATACTTTAGAAATTCACAAGACTTGCCATCTGTATCAAGTAACAAAATTAAAAATAAAACTTTTCTGAACATATAGATGCGTACTAGTTTGTATGATAGATATATCTATTTTGCACATTCAATCTAGATTCAGCGTACGTACTTTGAGCTTCAACGAGAAGATGTTCAGGCAACATAATGCCACTCGGCCCACTCCAAGATTCTAAACCATCTAGTTTCCAAGTACTTACTAAGACCATCTCTTCTTCGAAGTAAAATCTTTCGATGCACTACGAGTTTGCTTCTTAATTCTCTTTGAATCTTGACTGGTCGACACTTGCCTTTGCCTCGAAGAGGTGGTTTAGACTTATGATTCATCGATATTTCCCTTAATGGAGTAGCTGGTTCAGGCATCGAATGGCAATCAGTTTGTCTCGCAAAAGAGCTCGATACTTTTGCAGGTGCTGATTTCTGCTCTCCCTTTAAAGGGAGTAATCATTCTGGAAACTAGCTTCCTCTGTTTTGGGAACCTGAGCTTGTGGACGGTTCTTCGGGGAGGAATCCGAATCTGACGAAGAAGGGCTAGTAGTACTATCCATGTCGTAAAGGAGGTTATCCATCATGGGTGGAATTTGCCAATAGTTTGGACTTGAGGTAGAGGAGGAAGCTCTTTGAAGCCTTGTCAGGTGGACAACCTGCATGTAAATATATGTATGGTTAGTTTTTCCACATTCGCTTACTAAATTTAAAATAGATCTGCTGAGAACTAGTCACCTTTTGTTCTAGAACAATCATGTCCTTCTTCAATCGAGTAATTATCGTGTTCTTTCTGCGTATAATGTCCTCCAACTCGGATATCCTCTGTTATCAGAAAACATTTACACTCAGAGAAACCGAAGGGTGAAGTTTAGCAATTGAAAATGGTGAACAAAAATGAAAATTACCTTCAAAGTAGCCGCATTAGATGACTGGACAGAAGTGTTTAGTTCCTTTATGATCGCATCCTTCTCTTCACATTCCCTCTTAAGATTGTAGATATCTTGTTCTATTGCAAGGTTGTTCAGCTGCATGCACAACATCAAACCAAAGAAATGTTGAAGCCTTTGACAATTAACATAAATCGGATTTCGGCGATCCAAAAGACAAACCCTCCATCACCTGGATTTCTGATGCAGATGTGACACTTGAAGCCCAGTCCGACAAATCCGACATGCGGCGCTCCTCGTGTTCTGTCTCATTCAACAATGCTGTCACATTCCCACCCGAGGTTTTTACATTGTAGTCACCCTGACACATCAAAGAACAAGGGGGGGGGGAATCAGTTCAATCAGGTGACAAAAGAAGATAATCCACATGCAACTTTAATAAATCGGTTTCTTACTTTAAACTGTTCTCGATGTTGATAGCAAATCCAACAACCACAGTCATCAACCTTTACTCTCAGAGCCAAAAGTTCCATTCAATGAAGATTCTACTTCAGTTTTGGCCCATGTTCCCGGCTTCTCTTCGGTGTTATTCAGCTGTTCGCATAGACTGTCTACCTTTTGCTGCATGCTTGAAAGCACCTCATCCTGCAAATTCATTTATATAACATTTGATCATATTGATCCAGGATAACTCTGCACTCAAATGACTCGTAAAAACTTCAAATTCGAATCAAAATTCAACAGGGATATTGGAGTTTTTATACATATTGGTATCAATATAATCAAATCCAAGACATCTGAATTTGAATTTTAAGTGTTCACCAAGCATATGTTACATAGCAAAAGTGATATCCAAAACAAAAGCGTCTGTTACAAAGTAACTAACTTAAGCAAATGTATTTGTAACTGATAGTGGAGATATGTATGCAGGTAATCACAAAGCAATTTAACTCTAGATATCTTCTTAATCATCCATAACGGAATCAATACTTCATTAGATCAACAACAAATCATTGTGAATTAATTGAACACTAAAACTCCATAGATTAATAAATAAGAAAACCCAATAGAGTAACACTGTTAAAAACTGAAGTGAAAAAAGAAAATGAATTACGCTAACAATTCCTACTAAAATTAAACAGTAAATCAGAAAACAAACCCTTAGCTGGACCGATTTCTTGAGTTGGCAAATCAACCAATTCTTCTTAGACTCAACAGTCGCCACGCCGATCACCGCCACGATCAAGAACCTTTCAATGGGACTAAAGAGCTCCCAGGCCACAGCCTCCTCTCGGCCCAAACCGCCTCTTATAGCTCGAGCCGAGCTGGCTTCCTCGACATTCAGGAGGCGCCCCTGGAGGGAAAGCCAAGACAGTCGCCTAGAAGAAGGAACAACCGGCCGGCTCGGCTTGGCGAAGTTGGTTGAGAGCCGTCGAGGGCAAGGAGCGAACGAGGAAAGAGAGACCGACGTTGGTGGCGCCATGTCAACTGAACCAGCTTCTTCCATCGCCAAACGACGGCGAATAAGTTCCAGATGGAGCCTTTGTATATATAAAAGATTTGATTGATTTGGTAATTGGTATGAAATTAGGAAACAAATTTGAATTTCGATCCTTTTAGGTAAGAAGTTTTGTTTAAGGGATTTAACACAATCATATATGAGAGGGAAAGCGAATAGAGACATTGGGGACGGTGAACGTTAGAAACTTTTGAATTTGCCTCGTTGGCTGCTTGAGATGATGACAAGTGTAATTATTACGAATTTGTTTTCACTGTTTATTTTTAGTTACCATCTAAATATAATTTCAAATTCAAAAACTTTCCTTTTCTTTTGTCGGAGAAACAAAAGGCAACTTGGAATGTAGAGATTTGCAATTAATATTTTTTATATAAAATTGAGATTTAATTAGTTTAATCTAATTAATAAAAGCACGAAAAGAGTGACACTGGCCATAAAAGATTATTGTTATTCCTTAAATTTTTAGGTTCGGAAACTATAAATTTTAAAAGTATGATCGTTCATTATCAAATAATAAATATTTATCTTTGAATCAAATTAACAAATATATGCTTGAAATTGAAAAATATGAATTTCTCTAAGTATCGTGTATCAAGTTTTTTCAGATGTATTTATTTTTTTTTTCAAAAGGATGTAGAAATAATTGGTATAGTATTTATAAATGATTTATTTAATATTATTAAATTAATAAATATATGTTTGAAATTGAAAATATGAATTTATCTACGTATTGTGTATCCAGTTGTTTCAAATGTATTTTTTTTTCAAAATGATGTAACAATAAATTGATATGTTTTTATAAATGACGTATTTAATACTATTCTTCTTAGAAAATCTAGATTCAAGTAAATGTATTTATAAAATTTATATAAGAATGATAATCAGATCGGAAAATATCACTTTCTTTCTCGTGCTAAACAATATAGGACTTATGGTTTCGTCTATAGAGCATGTTCAGTCTTAGGATTTGATTTGAGTTTGCGGCTTTAATTCTTACTTTTTTATCGAATAAAAAACAACAACAACACATACTATGGATAGTGTGTTTGAGTTCAAAGTCATGGGACTTTATGTAAAACTTTTCGTGGCCCGTTTTATGACGTGTGATGAATGGGTTGGATTATTTCATTTAAGGGAGTATTTGGTTCAAGGATTGTGGGACGGAAATCCTACATTCTCATGTTTCGTTGGTCGGAAATCTCATTCCTGGTAATGTTTTATTATCAATAGTAGATTTTTTGGGGTATATTACCGGGAATGTCATTACCTCAATTCCCTTAGGTACTGTAACATTACCGGCGTTTTGGACTAAAATGCCCTTAAATTTTTATTTTTTTTCAAAAATATCATTCTTTTGTCATTGAATAATAAAAATTCTACGAATGTTAAATTACAAATTTATCCTTAAATTATTTTAGATTTACAAAAAAAATCTATAATTAAAATTTTATATGAAGTTCAGGGGTTAAATTTTTTTTTACCCTTTCATTAAACATTTTTTATATTTTTAATTTTGTAAAAAAATATATAAATATTATGAATTTAATTTTTTAAAGAAAATGTATAATATTTATAATTTGTAATATTATATAAATATATAATAAGTACAATTTGGTCAAAATATATTTCAATAATCTTTTATTCATATAACCAAACGGTAATCTTACATTCCTGCTAAACCAACCAAACACAAAATACAACATTTTCAGTAATTTTATTCCCTAGTAATTTATTCCCACTGATAATCCTACATTCTTTGGACCAAACGTACTCGAAGTATCATTGGATTCAGCTTGGTTGTGGGACTATGGGCATAGAGTTACCGTCACTAAAATCGAACTATTTTAAGTGAAATATGTTTACATCGTTTGGTTTAAATCAGTCTAGCTGTCTAGGGGTAGGGGACGGGCACCCTACATTTTGCTCATCCTTAGACCTCTTTTTGTTTTAACCTAGAGCATTTCCCGAAGAATTTAGTAACTTTGATTTTTTTAATCTATCAATTGATTTTAGTGATAAAAAATATTATTTTTCTTAAAGGTCTCAAATTTATGTAGTTGTGCCTGCATGATATGTATACATTATCAATAACAAAAAAAATATTTTTGAACGTATATTATCTTATAATTATCCTTAAAAACTTAAGTTTATAACAAGTAATACAAATGCACGAACAAGTTACTTAAATAATTAAATGAATGATTATTATATTTAAGGGTCTTATGTTTAAGCATTAGAGACTATAAAATATTTAAACACTATTATCACTCTATATGAATAAAAAAACAATTCAAACAAGTGAAACAATTTGTTTCTAAAAAGAGAATGAAGAGCGAGGAAAGCAAGGGGCGAAACTAAGGCATTGTGGGTCTCTCCTTGTTTGAAGGCATGACTTGCGCCTCATATGTTGTGCTCGGCCTGGCTTGGATCTCAAATATTTGGGCCGCAAGCCCGAGCAATTATATATTTGGTCAGTGTTTTCTTGTTAAATTACCAAGTACGTGACCTTGATAACGCTCTAGATTCATATCAGTATCATTAAATAGAAAGTTTAATGAAAAGAAAGAGTAAAGTAAACAAAAAATACTCTTTTTTCATTTTTAAATTGATCGATTTATTTGGCAATAAATATCAATTAATATATGTACTGTACATAGTATCTTAATTTTATTTCTTCGCTTGATCTATTTTATTTGTGTTGATTTCATTCAATCTGAAATAATTAAAAGACAAGTCTTACGATTTTCTAATTCTTTCATTTCATGGATTTGATTTTTTTGATGGATACCGAGATTCCTATTGAAAATAATCAGAAATGAAGGAAAAATGGAATGGAAATGGAATAGGCATATATTAATAAAAAAATATTACTTGGTTATCTTTTTTTTTTTACCATTCAAAGAAGTAATTCATTGAGTTATCTTTCCATTTCCTCTTTTTGGTCTCATATAACAACCATATAATGAATAATAAGAATCGCTGTTATTGACTCAACTGGATGCTGCTACCCACCCAAATTATATCTTATTATTAACATTATTAGCTCAAAATTCAAATGAGATGTCAATCATGCAACAACAGGAAAGCCATGTTTGATATCCAGTCTGTCTATAATCATAATTTGGAAATAGATTTATAAATAACAACATGCAAACCCTCTGAATTATAATCATAATTAGCTCATCATCCTCTAAAACCTTGTTATTTTTATGCAACTAGACCATTAAACATTTCTTTGCCACGCTGTACCAAATCTGGCAGAACCCAAATCAGATTTCTTTTTATTTACGCCAAAATTTAAATTTTCAAACTTTTAAATATCGTTTTTAGGTCAGCTTTTCTGCCAAATTTTAGGATTGGAAACATGCATTGTTTAATTTTTAATTAATTTATGTCGAGAGATTTCCTCTTCCAAGAGGATCTTACAATAAGGTTCTCCTAACACATGACTCTTCCACCGCCTTGTCGGAAAGTTTGTGTTTATCAATTACAAATTTTATTTATTATAGTATTCAAAGGGAAATAACTTAGTATCCAATAATATTAGTTAAAATGATTTTTTATAATGTTTATATTTTTATAGAGTCAATTATATTTGTGAATAGAAATATATATATATATATATATATATATATATAGGTTTATATTTTCATGTATATAAATTTAATAAAATGCAAAAATTCTACTAAAATTAAACTAGGATAAATATATGAAACGTCCCATCATTTGTTGAAGCTGATCACTTCGGTTGAGTCACAAGGGACACTGAAATCTACATATCCTGTTCGACATCCACATGACTACCTCATGGCTTGTCTTCTATCCATGATCTCAACTTAACTAGGACACCTGTGTCGTTTTTGGTGGGAATGAACGGCCCATATCAATGGAATGAAACCCTAGTTCGCTACATTTATCAGGAATTTAAATAATAATATATTATCAAAATAATATATGCTATATAGTGTTAATAGTATATTCAAAATTATTATTATATAATATAACATTCGTAATAATCATAAAAACATTAGTTATATTTATTATTACAATAAAACTAATGTAATTAAAAATTTTGACCACAAAAAGTATTTAAATCCTTGCTACCCACTATACCTCGTTATCTTCGTAAACTGTCTTGAATAAATAGTGATTTCCAAAGGGACCGAACCAGTGATCCCTGTGCAGAAGACAGAAATTCAGTGGTTGACGTTTGCCCGTTTATTAAATAATCCAGAAATTTAAATTTGCGTTTTTATAATTAATTAATTTAAATATAAATTTATCGTGAACGTTAGGGGTAAAACTGTCCGAAAAATATCAGTTCGCGCTTATAAATAAACACATCTTAGTACATACCACCGTGCTTCACTCTCCAACGTAGTAGTATCTTTTAAAACAAAAACATCCCCCGTTTCAGACTAAACAAAAGAAACAATGCAGAGGTTGTGCAGCATTATCTTGGCAATATTATTTGCCGTAATCTCCAAAGTTAACGGCTGCCCGCCATCTGAAAGGGAAGCGCTGTTAGCATTCAAGGCAGCTATCCACGAGCCTCGCTTGGGAATCTTCGATTCATGGACGGGAACCGACTGTTGCCACAACTGGTACGGCGTCAGCTGCGACGCCGAGTCACACCAAGTCGCAGATATTAACCTCCGTGGCGAGTCACAAGATCCCATATTCGAGCGAGCTCATCGGACCGGTTTCATGACCGGTTTGATCTCGCCCGAAATATGCAAGTTAACTCGCCTTTCCAGTATCACTATAGCTGATTGGAAAGGAATCACGGGTGAGATCCCTAAATGCATCTCTACGCTGTCGTTTCTCCGAATCATCGACTTGATTGGTAATAAAATATCGGGAGAAATTCCTGCTGATATCGGGAAATTACAACGTCTCGCGGTTTTAAATATCGCGGATAACCAAATATCGGGGCGAATCCCGGCTTCATTGACAGTTTTATCGAGCTTGATGCATCTCGATTTGAGAAACAACAAAATATCGGGTCCGATCCCGAGGAAGTTCGGGCGACTCCGAATGTTGAGCAGGGCTTTGTTGAGCGGGAACCAAATAAGTGGGCCGATCCCCGGCTCTATATCTCGCATTTATCGTCTAGCTGATTTGGACCTTTCAATGAACAATTTATCTGGTGCGATTCCTAGTTCTCTCGGAAAAATGGCGGTTCTCGCGACATTGAATTTGGATTGCAACAAAATATCTGGAACGATACCAGCAACTCTCTTTACTTCCTCCATCGGAAGCTTAAATTTGAGTCGAAATGCGTTAGAAGGAAAAATCCCGGATGTTTTTGGGCCGAGATCTTATTTTACCGCCATTGATTTAGCCTATAACAAGCTTTCCGGCCCGATACCGACGACATTGGCGGTGGCATCTTACATCGGACACCTAGATTTGAGTTACAATCACTTATGTGGGCGCATTCCGGCAGGAGCACCGTTTGACCATCTTGAGGCATCATCATTTACTCATAACGATTGTCTCTGTGGAAAACCACTCAGAGCTTGTTGATTAAGTCGTTAATATTTTTTTCCAGTGTAAACCTTATTAATGAGAATTTTTAAAGTTTTAAATTTAATCCATTTTAATCATATGTAATTTGATGTTATCCCTAACTAAAGTTCCTATGTAAACATCATTCTAGCATGCAGCTCTTCCGATCCTCGCTTGCATCCACTCTGCCGATCATGTTCATATAAAGATTTAATAGGTTGATTTCACATTACCACGATATAAATACACTAATTGTTTTAATTTCTCTTTTCAATTATAAAAACAAAAGTGTGCACTCAATTGAAATTATTTTTTAAAAAATCAGATATAAATATACACTAGGTAGTAATTGATTAGAAGAAAATATATTTCATTATATTTAGATTTTTTTTGTCTTCCTGAACCTTTATAAGAACAACAATATATTTTAGTCCATTAAAAAAGCCCAATAGTTAGAGAAGTCTAAAACGGGTATGAAGATAGAACCCACTTACGACTTTAGAATTTGAGACCAATTCATATCTAACACTATTAACTTCCTTGTACGTTTAAAGTCTAAATTTAAAATACGTTCCACATTTATAATAATCTGAACCATTGATATAAGGATTTTAATTATATATATAAGAGGCGCCTCCAATCTGTCTTCTATCAATGATATCATATAAATAAGTATCAGAACACTATTTCAGTGTGATGCAATTTATTTGAGTTAAATTTGAGAAAAATAAGTTTTTTTATCTTTTAGATTTAGATTAATTTAATTATCAAAACAAATTATAATTTAAAATGTAATAAAAACATAATACTAATGTTAGTTCGGCAAACTACTAAATAGTCACTAATGTTTTGAGTATCCGCTGAAATTTTAGAAGTAATAAATTGGTCACAAACGTTATCGATTTGTAACAAATCGGTCACTCGACATTAACAACCTTTAACGTGAGTGACAAAAGGTTTACCTGACCCGTTAACCACTTACTTGGACCCTCTGTTAACCAATGTTTATATTTCTCTTTTCTCCTATGAAATTATCGTCCAATATTCGTCGTTTACTTCTTTTTTTCCTTAAACGTTGTTCTCGCTTAAACTTATAGAGGTGTTTTCTCAATCTTTTAATTATATCTAAACTAAAAGATGAGAAACGAGGCTCATTCATATTGGAGGTATAGCGACTCTCGCCAACCTCTGTCGTCCGTTTTAGTTTCTCCTTCTGTCGGCAAATGACCTCGCTCTGATTATGGTAATTTAGCTTATTCTATTTTTTAAATGTTTTAAGCTTTACATTATTATTAATATCTTATCAATTTATAGTTTCATATTTTTTTGTATTGCGAATTTGAATTACGTTTGATAGTGTAGAAACACGAAAAAAAATGAGAAGTATATGGTGCTAAATGTTCTTGTTTTACTCTAAGTTGGAAAGTATGCCTTTAAAAAGTCCAGAAACAATCAATTTATGTTCATAATTTCAAAGTCAGTGTATGCCATGTCTGCTACTCCAAGCTCCAAAGGGAAGGCTTGTTGCAGATCACTCATGTGTTGGCATGCCTATTTTATTTTAGTATGACTTGTTTACTTATTTAAAGGCAAAAGGCAGAATTGAAATACAAAACTAAGAAGGTTCCTCAAAATTCTTTGAGAGGTTAGAGTTTTATTCATTATAAATCATCAATTTGAAACCAAATTGTCTTTTAAAAACTAAACACATACTTATCTAAAAAAAAATCCAACATGTAGCCAAACAAATCCCCAATTTTGAAATTGAGCTTCGTTGGCGAGTTCGTTCTACCTTCAATATGAATAGGCCACGCTTCTCGTCTTCTAGCTTAGATACAATGAAAAAAAATGAGTAATTACTTCTATAATTTTTAAGCAAGCACAAACGTTTAAAAATAAGTAAACGGTGTTGTGTTGGTCAATAATTTTAGAAGAAAAATGGAGAAACATAAACGTGGGGTCAATAGGAAGTTCAACGAGGTGATGAATGGTCTAAGTAAGCATTTAATATGCCAATTAAACTTTCCATCACTCACGTTAATAAATGTGATAACGAGATGAATAAATTTTGATTATTACTTTTTTAAAATAAAAGTCTCAATAGTGTTTATGAAATTTTAACACATCCATAAATGATACTAATCTCATCCACAAGTTGATTCCTATTAGATTTGTAGTATTAAAGCAAATACAAAGAATAAATTTACCTTAGAATGCAGAAGGAGATACTTTAATGATATTTCAATAAGTCATTGACGATAAAATTGTGTTAATTATATTATCTAACTAAATGCCGATAAGATGATGTATTAACTCTATTGTCAAGGACAGAATTAGGAATTTATTAAAGCATGGTTTAAATATTTTTTAATTTTATAAATACAATTATTTTAATTGAGAGGGACCTGATAATTTTTATTTAATTTTCAAAAATATTTTTTAATATTAATTAATAATTAAAAAATTAGTAGGGATCAAGGCTCCTCGATATCAAATTAAATGAGAAATGAAATGAATTATTTTTATGATACGTTTAATATAATAAGTTATTTAATAATTAGATAATATTTATAGTTTGTGTATCTGCTGAAAATTATGGTTATCAACGGATAACAAATTCAGCACCTTGGTTTGTGACAATTATATTTGTGAAAAATTTTAGCATAATTTTTCACAAATATAGTTAAATAATTTCTATTCCTCATTTGAATATATAATGTTAATTAAGTTTGTTATTTAATTTTAATAGGTAATATTTTTTCGATATATTGATTTGACACATTTATTAATGAAGATAAACACTAACATAAAATTTATTTTCATTTATAAGGTTTTGATTTTCAAATTATAGTGAATTAAACTATTAATATATATATATATATATATTGTTTTTTCACAAAAATAATTTTTTCCTGTAGTATTTTAATTAATATTTAAGAAATAATTAATAAATTTTTTGGTACATAAAAACTGGGATTTACATAGGAATTTTCAGATTACTTACCAAGAGTGACGGTGATATGATTTGAACTTGGTCTTGCAAATCAAATTCTCGAATCCTAACTATTTGTCAACACTCATTGGCGAAATAATCAATAATTTTTTAGTTAAAAATATATTGGATAAATTATATATATATATATGCAAAATTTAGTATAGAGCTACAATGACATTTTTATATTATAACAAAATTATTTTATGAATTCTCATTCAAACATTTATACGTGTCTATTAGTAAAATTAGCATAATTCTATATTTGATCCTCATTATTTACATATTCTATTAATTTAGCCTTAATTTTTAATTTAATTGAAAAAATTGACCCTCAATTAAGAGGTACACGTGCCACCTGTTTAATTGGAAAACAACCAATTTAAAATTACAACCAAAAGGAATTGATACAAATCCCTATGAGGTATATTGGCATGCCTCAACCATCCAAAAGGTTTTATATATTCTCTTTTAAATTAAGGAAGGAAAAAGGAACAAGAGGGAATTAAGAAGGATTCAAACTTGGGGATTTTAACTTGGAATGGGTGCACATTAACCACTGGGCAAATCAAACTTTTGAAAAACATTTACATTATAATTTATATAGCTAATATCGTTAATGGTAAAAAATAAAATAATCAGATCAGATCTTAAACTTAGGCCAATAGAGCATATGAAAGCATCTTAATCATTGAAAAAAATATAATGAATAAACTATATTTCATATATATATATATATCAAACTGTAGTTAATGCAAAATTTAAAAATAAAGATGAGTTCAAAAGTTTTAGATTTTTAAATTATATTTTTTTCTTTTAATTTTTTATAATTATTTTTAATAATTATGTATAAAATTATGTTAAAGTTTCATTTAACGAACATAAAGTTACGAGTACAACTTAAATCGCAAGTTAATAATTCAAATCTTAAATTTTGTCTTCAAAAGGCTTTTTTTAAAAATTATTTCTCATTTTATTTAAATTTATAATCAATTAAAATAATTGTGAAAATATAAAAAATAATTTAGTTTACAAATATATAAATATTAAATTTACTTACTTTAAATACCCGCCAGTAATAGATATTAAAGATATACATAATGTTGTAGGCTATTCCAAATCAATATCTTCTATTTTTCACTTTTTCCCATAACCTAAACCATAATATATAAAACATTATGAAACTGAGTAACAAATATGGCTTTACCCCAATGGTTTGAGGCGTTGACAGAGTTACTTATAATCCCTGGTTTGGATTTCCAAGTGCCGGATTCAATTTGTTTTGATTTCGGTAAATAATTTGATTGAATGCATTTAAATAATTATGTTACCTAATTGATAAAATTTTTAAGGTAGTGGTCAAAATAAAAAGAAAAAATAATTAGTGGTCAATGTTGTAGTTGTCCTAAAAAATATATCAAATAAATTTTACTTTCAAATAATCTTATATCAATCCATCTAAATATTATAATTTTATATCACTACTAAATAATAAATAAAACAACATTCTGAATATATATCAAATAATTTTAATAATCTTATCCTAAAATATAATCCTATATCTCATGAACTAGATGTGATTTAACCTCGCACTCAAAGCACAAAAAAGTAAACTCAAGCCTAATTTAAAAGTATTCAATATTGATTCCACCCATGCATCTGCCTCTCATGACTCTAAATCATTACAGATTAAAGTCATTTTGTGTAGTCAAAGGATGATGAAAATGCTATGGATAGGCAGGTCGCTTTGTAACATAAATAAACAAGAAAGGGAAAATAAATAAATATCCTTTGTTAATTCTACATGTACAGTGAGGAACTGCAAAGCTATTATGATATGAAATGGGAAAACTTGAGTTTCTTTTGTTTTTGTTGAAGAAATGTGAGTGTGATAAAATAAGTATATACGGGTGATTTAAGAGAAGCTATTACAAAGTATAGAAACAGTACATGCCATATATTTTGTGTCAGTGAAAATAGTACGTATTCTGATGAATATATTTGAAAGCTTTGACATGACATTTCATTGGAAAATCTTTTAACCCTTTTTTGCTCCCTCTCTCTCTCCCCCTAAGTAAAGCTGCCACAAAGAT